TCGCCTTCGCGCTTTTCTGATCTTTTCCGTCCTCCCTCCCTCCTCGTCTCGAATCGCGATGGAGGTTCATCGTCCTGTCCTTTTCGCTCTGAGCACGGACCGAGACACGCCTTCCCCCATCCGTGCTGGACTGGACTGGACCTGAATTTGCGGGCCCTTCTTTGAACCTAGTCAGTCATACATACTCTATGATCCCCTCGAATATTCACGCATTCGTGCCAATCTGAACCTTCAGACGTCCCCCTCCGAGAGAGCTTCTCGCGAGCTTCAACGGCAAGCGCTCTCCCTTGGTCGATGGGCCTTCCGAGGCAGGAAATTCTCCCTTGCGGATAACGCGTTTCTCCCTTTGGTGGGCTACTATTAACACGGACCGCGTTTCGTTGACTAGGGCCTGCGAGCCTGCGACGTACATACATCTGCTTGTCTACGGTTCCCAGCGTCTGGCTCTCCGCAAAAATACATTTATTCGCACGGCAGTGCTCTGATGGTAGGCTAGTGCTCGAATCAACTGCTGTGCCTCGCTAATAGTACCCCATTTTATAGCTCTTCTAATAGCGTGGCATCACAAGAGGCGTCACAACTCGGAAGAAACGCGGAGGACAGCTGAACGCGAGCAGAGCCCCTGGGAACTCCTCTGGAAACTCCGCGCCGGGATTCCCGCTGGTGGACGAGAAAATGGCGGACTGCTCATCAGTACACGACTCCAAGTGCCGAAACCGACGGCGGGGATTCACTGATCTCCCCGTAAGTCATGGCCACTGTGCTGCCTCTTTCCCCCCCTCCTTCCCCTCTCCTCTTTTTTCTCCTCTCCTAACTTTCCCGCATCCCTCCTCCTCTCCCCGCCACTTTCCCCTCCCCACACCCCTCTCCCCTCCTCCTCAGGCGGAGCTGGTGGAAGCGATGCTGCACCGCTCGACCTTCGCCTGCCTTCCGCCCTCGCCTCCGTCATCTCTCCTTCCCCCCGCGCGCCTGTCGTTTTCATCCCGCGCGCAGGGGGAGCTGCTGGAGGCGGTGCTGCGCCCTTCGTTCTCCGCCTGCCTGTTTCTCCCTCCCTCTCCTCCCTCACCTCCCCTTCCCCCTGCGCCGCTGTCGTGTCCCCCCGCGTGCAGGCGGAGCTTGTGGAGGCGGTGCTGCGCCGCTGCCTGCAGTCGCCCGGCTGCTCGCCGCGCCAATACGCCCACACGCTCCTCGTGTACGTCTCAATTCGCTCCTGTCGCCGCTCGTGTTGCTCCTGTCGCTCGTGTTGCTCCTGTCGCGCGTTGTCACATTCTCACATATACACTCCTCGTCACGTACGTGACTCAAACGCTGCTCGACAGGAGTCCCCGGGCTTAGTGCCTCGACAAACCGGTGCGCAGTAGACGCGCGGAAATCACGAGGGTGCGCGCGAAGCGCACGCAAATAACGATGAGGAGTTAGGGAAGAAGGGATGTTCAGAGAGTCTCCGACGAGCCATCTCAGCTGAACCGTCTCAGTAACTAGCCGTGAAACAGCCGTTTCGGTGAACAAGTTTTGCACTTTACGATGCGCGTTAGTCTTTCTAGAAACGCGCGGCACGCGGAAACGGCACGCCGAATAAATCGTCGACAACGAAAGCACGTCCTCGGTGTAGCGATTCCTCGTGTAGGCGCGTCCAACTATTAATCATAACCGTCGATCTGATCGCATGATACCCGTAAATCGCCTTGTATGCTGCCAGAACAGACCCGATCGTTGATCTGTTTCCGACCAGATCCATCAGTTGGCCATCGGGAATCAGCAGCGAACGTGCTCGCACGTTCTGTGCTACTCACACTACATTTCGTGAATGTAACATTCGTTCATTTTACTCTAGCTGTGCCTTCTTGGTTTCTCAGGAGGAACAAACGAAAAAAATCACGATGCCTGCTGTCAATCTAATGTATATTTACGTATCTAACACATCTGCCTCCATTCCCGTTACAGGTGCTCCCAGTTTTGCGACATTGGCATGTCTCCCGCAACATTGCGCGTTCTGCCTCCCTCCGTGCTGCTGCCGCGCTTTGAGCGCTGGAGCGACTCCAACCTGCACTTTCTGAGAAGCTGCGCTGCTGCTGGAAACAGCGAGGCCTTGTTTATTCTCGGCATGGTAAGTTCTACTTTTTCCTTCCCCTTCCCCCCTCAATCTCCCTTTCCCCCCTCTCCTTTTCTCCCTCATCTCCCTTCTCCCTGCCCTCTCACCCCTCCGCCTCCTTTTTCTCGATTTCTCCTTCCCCGGTCTTTTTACTCCTTTTGTTCTCTCTCATTTCTCACATTGAAACTTCCCATTCAAAGCCTTTCTGTAAAAATATCCCCTTGCACTTCTCCGGTTCTCTGTATGCCACCAATCTAAGTTGAACCAACTCTCGTGTCTTCCCACCGTGTCAGACCTACACCTACTGCTTCAACGACCCTAACACGGGCTTGGCGCTCCTTACCCGAGCAGCCAGAGACGGACACGTGGCAGCACTGCATTCGCTGGCAATTTTTCTGCTCAACCGTGGAAATGCGATGCCCATGGGGGGCTGTGATGACAGCAGCAGGCATGCTAGTAACCAGATCGACCACCAGCATGCGCCAGGAATCAGCTGCAGCGCCAACAGTGAAATCACTACTAACACTACCTTTGACATAGCTGTTAGGAGCATCGCCTCCCATGATATTGCTGCTGGGAGCAGCAGCAGCATGCGAGACAGTGGCGATGGTAGCAGCGCCTGCAGCGCTATCAGAAGCAGCAGCAGCCCTGGTGGCGCTAACAGCATCAGCCTGTCGCTGCCATCATTGTCACAGTCCCCACTGTCCTTATCGCTCTCGTCCTCCCCCTCGCCCTCCACCTCCTCATCCCCCTCATCGCCCTCCTCATCCCCCTCCTCACCCCCTGCTTCGCCCCCCTCAGAAGCACCTTCACAGCCGCCCTCACCAGCACCCTCAGACCCCTCAACACGCACGCGCATGGCAGTGCAGCTGCTGCTGAGGGCCGCGCAGGGCGGCGACATTTCATCGCTGGTGGAGCTGGCGCACTGCGTGCAGCACGGTGTGGGGCCGCTGAGAAATGAGCGCATGGCCCACGTGCTACTCGCCCGTGCGCGCGCCCTGCAGGTGCTACGAAGGGAACAGGGCCGACGAGGGGAGCAAGAGGAGAGATTGCAGTTGGACCGGCAGCAGCAGCAGCAGCAGGCGAGACAGCAGCAAGAGCAGAGCAAGAGGGCGCTGTGTGTGGCTTGGGAGTGTGCGTTGAGACAACCAGAGGATGTAATCGCTCTGGCGAAACCTCAGATTCCGTCAGCACTGCCAACTGCACAACTGGCAACCACTGAAGAACAAGAGCTGCCACCGATCCTACCATCAGCAGCACAACATCCCCCCACCACACCAGCAGCAGCACACGTGCCACCCACCTCACCAGTAGAAGAACCAGCAGCGCGAGAACCATTCACCGGATCAGCAGCAGCATTTGGAGCACCCGGCCCGGCTGCAACAGCACAGCAGTGGGTGCCGGTGCTTCGTCACCCCATCCACTCCTTCCTGCTGCAATGGCGCAAGCAGGAGGAAGAGCTGGTGGCATGCGCACACCTGCAACAACTGCAGCAGCAATTCCTCCAGTACATGCAACACCAAGAGGTGCTGCTATCGGATAGCATAAGCACACATGAGACTCTGCAGCAGCAACCATCTTCTTTGCACACATCAGCCGCGCAAGCACTGCACCACCACCTCTTATTGCACCAACACGCATCTGCCCTACGAATAACTGCACGGCAGCACCAGCTGCTGCCAAGCCAGAAGCAGGTGTGTGGGAATCGCAAGTGTGGGCGGAGGGAGACGAGTGCAGGGTCCTTCCGACGCTGCGCGGGATGCCACGTCGCGTACTGCTCCAGGGGTTGTCAGTTGGAGGAATGGGCGAGAACGCGTGGGGTTCTGGCTGGGATAGTGTACCCAAGTGCTGTGTCACAAGATTGATATGGGTGTGCGTTAACTGCAATTTGTAACAATTGAAGTTGGTCATGCCAGATGTTAACGCGACGCGAGCCAGGCAATGGAATGAGTTCACTCCCTTCCCCCCCACAAAGAAAAGTGCTCCTTTGGCACCTAATGCCATACGGTAATCCAAATCATTACCAAGCTTCAAAAGTGTACCTTTGGGTGTGATGTGATAGACAAATGGAGTCACGGCAGCACTGCAAAACAGGATGCAGAGCCAACAGGGGAAGAGGAGGGGAGGAAGCGGGGAACAGTGAAAAAGGCACAAGGCGGGGGGGGGGGGGGGGGGGGGGGGGGGGAGGTGACAGCAATAATGTACCGTATTCATGAAAGGATTTTTGTTCGTCCGTTACTACTAACGGGGCTTCGCCAACATTTGCGCGCACTATTCACCAAACCATGCACCGCTGGCCCGGCCGTGTCGGCCTACGCTTCGGGACTAGCCCGAACCTCGATGCCAGCCTAGCACTAGCTAGCTCGCACGTACCTCGTAACCGTTTGCATGTTTTGCGTATAAGTATTCGCACATGCCTTCGCTCATACTTCGTGCTCGTTTGACCACCTAGTGCAATCCTCAATATCTCGTTCCATTGCACCCGTACGTAACACTTTAGCTAGATGTAATAGGTTACAACATCGAACCATACCTGAATGAAAGTTTTGACCATAGTATTGATGCTTCCTTGATAAGAATCAGAGAAGAGAGCAAGTTAGCTCTGGCACATCTCTCACAGGCAAATCACCACCCCAGCTTTGTCAGAAACCCACAATACGCCAAAATGTTCCTACCCAAAATACTTCCCTCCATTCCCAGAACCAAGACAAACAGGCCAGCCATCCCTCCTCCAAGTCAGGCTGAGAGAGAAACACGCGGACAGAGCATGTTATCATGCAACATGTCAGCTGAGAACACTTCTAAGCAGCACTCGGTCGGAGCATATGGTACTATAAGGTGTGAGCCGAGAGAGGTAAGGTGCTGTAAGGTGTGAACCGGGAGAGGTGCCAACCGAGGGAGGTTCTATCTAAGCCACGGGCGGCCTGAGCATGTGGTCCTGCGAGGTGTCAACTGAGGTAGGCGCCATCCACTGCCACATGGCCATGGGCGGCGGGCCGCCCGCAAACACCCCTGGCTGATGCATCGGCTGAGGCACAGGCTGACCCACTGGATGGGACACTGCGTGCGACACAGCAGCAGCAGTCATGGGAGCGGGCATGGGTGCAGACATGGGAGTGTTCATGCCTCCCATGTGTGCCCCCTTGGGAGTGCCGAGAGCCATCTGCTGGCACTGCTGCATCTGAGCAGCATAGGCCGCAGCAGCTGCATGCATGGCTGCAGCGTGGGGGTGTGGCTGGTACGCCATGGGTGTGCCGGGCGTGGTGGGTGGAGAGTGGTGGAGAGGGATGGCGGCGACGGGGATGGCGGCGGTGGGAGTGGCGGGGTGGGTGGGGGTAGCAGCTGCGGCAGCGGCTGATGCTGCGGCGGCAGCAGAGCCGTTGACGTGCTGCTGAAGCTTCTCGCTCTCGGCCTTCAGGCGAGCTTTCTCCTCACGTAATTCGTGCTTCTCAGCCTGCAGGGGCAGATCGGGAAGGAAGAGTGGGGAGGGAGGGAGCTGCTTGTGAGAGCTCTCAAAAGCAGCGAAGCCGTTGACGTGCTGCTGAAGCTTCTCGCTCTTGGCCTTCAGGCGGGCCTTTATCTCACAGAGCTCATGCTTCTAAGCCTGCACGGACGGATGGCGGGGCGGACAGAGGAAGAGGGAAAGACTGCTTGTGAGAACTCTGGAACGCAGCGGAGCCGTTGACATGCTGCTGCTGCAGATTCTCGCTTTCCGCCTTGAGCCGGGCCTTCTCCTCACGGAGCTCGTGCTTCTCAGCCAGCACGGACGGATGGGGAGTGAACATGAGAGAGTGAGAGAAGAGAGTACTGAAGCTGCAGCAGCTGCTGCAGCGGCAGCAGCAGAGTTGCTTCGTGCTGCAGCAGCTTCTCACTCTCAGCCGGGCCTTCTCACTCTCGGCTTCTCACTCTCAGCCGGGCCTTTTCACTCTCGGCTTCTCACTCTCACCTTCTCACTCTCAGCTTCTCACTCTCAGCTTCTCACTCTCAAATTTCAGCCGTGCCTTCTCTTCGTGTAACTCATGCTTCTCGACCTGCACAGACAGGCATGTAATAGGGGGGAAGTTGCTTGGGATAATTTGCGAATGCTCGAAATGTGCTGCTGTGGCTTTTCACTCTCAGCCTTGAACCAAACCTTTCCCTCACGGTGCTGCTCGTGCTTTCAAGTGTGCCTTGATTGCGTTACAGCTATAGTGCCTTACCCCCCTCCCCTTCTCTCCTCCAACACACACACCTTGAGCTCCTTGATCTCCTCGTGCAGCGCGGCATTTCTCTCCTTGAGAGCAGCATCTCCACACCTTAACCCACTGCACACCCCCTTACCACCCAGCCAGCCCCCCCCCCCCCCCCTCCCACCCAAATACTCCGTCTCCCCCCTCCTTCCCTCCCCCCACCTCTGCTCCTGCAGCGCCGCGTTGCTCTCCTTGAGCGCCAGCGCTCATCACATTGACAACTCTCCTTCCTCCCCCATTTCACCCCCTCCCCTCTCTCCGCCCACCCCCCATCTCCTCCCGCCGCCGTGCACCCACCTTGAGCTCCCTGATCTGCTCCTGCAGCGCCGCGTTGCTCTCCTTGAAAGCAGCACTGTCACAATCCCCTTCCCACCCCACACGCCTTCACCCCCTGCCTCCACAATTCCCCCCACCCCCCCTCACCTTGAGCTCCTTGATCTGCTCCTGCAGCGCCGCGTTGCTCTCTTTGAGCGCCTCTCGCTCGGCGCGCAGCTGGGTGAGCACACGCACCGCGTCACACAGGATGCTCGCCTTGTCCGCCTTGGGGGCTTTCCCTGGCTCCAATGATCGACTCAGCTCCAGGAACCTGCAGAAGAAGAGTGGGGGAAAGGAAAGCGGGTGGGGGGTGTGGAAGGGGGCTGTGCGATGGGCAGCGCAGCTGGGAGAGCACGCGCACGGCGTCACACAGGATGCTCGCCTTGTCCGCCTCGGGCGCCTTGCCCGGCTCAAGTGATCGGCTCAGCTCCAGGAACCTGTGACTGGGGGAGTGGGGAAGGAAAGGGGGGAGTGGAGGGTGGGGGGATTATGGATGATGTTTTTACTCAGTCCGACTATGCCCTTCGCGGCTCCAGTGACCGACTCAGCTCCAGAAACCTGTGGTGGGAAGGGGGAGGAGGTGTATGAGAGAGAGTGTGTGTGTGTGTACGCACGCGCGTGTGTGTACAAATATGCGTGTGTGTATATCTGCGTGTGTGTGTGTGTGTGTGTGTGTGTGTGTGTGAGAGAGAGTGTGTGTGTGTGAGTGTGTGTGTGTGTGTGTGTGTGTGAGTGTGTGTGTGTGTGTGTGTGTGTGTGTGAGTGTGTGTGTGTGTGTGTGTGTGTGTGTGTGAGTGAGTGTGTGTGTGTGTGTGCGCCACCACTGCCATCTGCCATCTGCCACCTGGCAACGAAATGCCACTCTCATAACCTCATCCGTCGCACAGTCGACCACCTGCCACCTCTCACCCACCCACCACACGGCGTCAGCATCCACCTGCCACCTGTCACTTGCCACCTGCCACGTGCCACTAGTCATCTGCCACGTGTCACCAAATTGACTGCCAGCCACGTGTCACCTGTCATTGAGTCGGTCGCGTCTCATCTTCTCCCGGTTGGCCTTGCTGCATGACACGTCAGCAGTGTTCGCTCCCTCATCCCGCGACCTGGCACACGGAAAAAGACAAAGAAAGTACATGAAAGCGGGGGAAGTGATGGTGTCACTAATAAAGAACGCGATGCGAGTCAACCAAAACGACGCACGGTCATCGATGGCAGCTCGTCGCCGAGCACTGAGCACTCCTTACGCGACCCTGCAGGTCCGCACCACCTGCCTTCCCTCTGGTCCCCTCATTTCCTCTTATCATTCCCTCTCGCACTCCCCTCCCATTCCCCACCCCCTCACTCACTCACCGCTTCCTGCTATCCTGTCTTCTCGCATTTCTCCGTCGCTCCTGCCGCGCCGCCAACCCCGGCGCGACACACAATGCACTCAACCGCTCCCTTACACCCCCCCTCCCCTCTCCCCTCCCTCCCCCCCCCCCCACAATTCCCCCTTTTCCCTTCCATTCCACACACCCCCCCTTCCCTCTTCTCGCCCACCATCTCTTTCTTCCACCATCCTCCCCCCTACTCTTCTCCCTTCCTTCCCCTTTCCCCCCCTTCTCCCCCCTTTTCCCCCCTCCCATACCTCTTCCTGCTGCTGGAACCCGCCTTTTCGCCTTCGTCTGTGTTGCCGCCGCCCTCGGCGCTGCACAGGCACGCACAACAGGAGAGAGGGGGGAGGCGAGAGGAGAGGAGCGGGGGGAGGAGAGAGGGAAGGGGAGGGTAGGGGAGAGCCGAACGGAGAGGAGGGGAGGCGTGGGGAGAGGAGTGCGGGGGGGAGGGAGGGAAAGAGAGAGGAGGAGAGAGGAGGTGGAGGGGAGATGACATTGAATGGGTGATGGATGAATCGTGTGAAGCGGCACAGCTCCACAGGAAGAGGGATTGCGTACGGCGACAGTGAGCGACCGAGAGGCTGATGGAATTCGTAGAGCTAGAGTGAGTGACTGAGGACGCGTCACATGTCCAACACCGATCCCGTGAAATATCGGTGTGCAGCATCTACAGTGTGTTCGCTATTTCGTGAAAGACATGTATCCCGTTGTCGTTAAGCATGTCGCGAAAATCGTGCACACGCATAAAACCCCTGATCGGATGGCTCAAACTGCCACATCGATCGTGATCGTGACTGAGCGGAAATCAAAATCGCACCACCAGTTCCAGCCACGATCGATCGCCGTCGCATACTGTCGGCCACCTTCGATGTGGTAACTTCGTACCCTGCTTTGTCGCCATCAATTGAGCAAGCAGCTTGGTATTCCTCTCTCGTCACAAGCCATGCGAAATTGTGCTACTCGCCAGCGAAGCACGGCTCCTGCGCTAGTCGCTGGGTGTACAGTTGGCATGGAGATCCCCAACTTGCAAACCTGGTCTTGTCCCACTTGGCTCGGGGAAGCAGCCAACTCTGCTCCTGCGGATTGAAACACGTTTTTCGCAGGTCCGTGCACACGTTCTCGGTGTTTGGAGCTGATCTACCGCGGTGCTGGACATGTGACGCGTCCTGAGAGACTGACATACGGCGTACAGCTAAAGTGAGTGACTGAGAAACTTTTAGATTGCGCGAGGCTACACTGAGTAACTGAGGGACTGATGGATTGCGAACGGCTAGAGGGAGCGACTGAGAGACTGATGAATGGTGTGACGCGACAGTGAGAGACCGATACGTTCGTAAGGGGACAGCGGAAGGCTGCTGACGAAGTGCGTACGGCGATAGCGCTAAGATACTACAAAACACGCCATTGAATGTTGGCGAATTGTGTAACACGGCACCGAACGGTGGACTGTGTGCGACGGCGCACTGAAAGGCTGATCAAACGCGTCTACGGGGAGGGACCGGAGCGGAGTTATAAATCCGATAGATTTGATAGAGTAAGGAGGCTTCACATAGCAGTCCTGATTACATGCGCTAGCGCATGCGACGCCGCGGGAACAAGCTGGCGAATGCAAGTTACCCCACTCCGAGTCGACTAAAAAATCGACTAATACCGAATTTAGGCGTAGGCGCCACCGTTCACCAGACGCAATTCTGGAAGCTGGAATAGAAACCGACCGCCTACTGACCTAACGTGAACTAAACCCGCGTACCTGCACGCGACCTGCTCTAACGCCGGCTGCGACGGCAGCAGCACGCCGGGCACGTAGGTGTCGTCGTCGAGATTCGCCTCCGTCAGAAAATTCATCCACTTGTCCGTGGACGGTGCTGGGTCCGACGCCATTGGACGTCGCCCTAAAATAAACTGGGGCTTGTGTGCAATACGCCTATAAGGGAACCTAAAAATGGTCTCGTCTGGTCTAGAGTAGTGAATGCCGATTAGGGTTTGCGAACAAGGCAAGCAGGGAGGGAGGGCTGCTGATCGGTGCGCTAGAGGTGCAGAAGGTATCACCTGATAACATCTCTTTTCGCAAATCGCTAGCTACGAACTGATTGGACAAAAGTTGATTGCATTTTCGTTTACTTCTCGTACACTGGAGCATGTTACCAGGTGTTAGCCATAGATGTTGGTCGCAGCTTCCGCCGCAACCAGGATGACACCCCCAAACCACTGCTTTGTGGCACGAATGCTGCCATGGGGATTCCAGCGCCCGAACCGCAATCTTGGGGATCAGGTGTGGGCTCCTGCGATTGGCTGACATGAATACTTTCTTGGTTCGACAGTGAACTCTTTGGTTTGCCGCCCGCATGGAGGGGTAGGTGCAGAAGCATTTCTTTCAAAGAAAACTCGGAGTTCAGGGGTGTCTAACCAAACGTACTTTGTGTTGGGAAAAGCAGACTGTCCGTACCCAATCATGCTTAACTTCAGAAGTTATGCTCGCAGAACCCGGAGTCCGTCAGCAACAGTCACCTGCGTAGCCTCAGGTCGTGTCCGTAGGGATGACATGTCAAATGGGCAGTGTCAATTTGGCATTTTGACACTCAGCCAACATTGTTGGCAGAGTGTCAAGAATTTGCAGGTTGCCAGCCAATGCAACTCGTCGGGCACTTTCTGTTTTGGCACATCATACCTACCAACGAGAGAAGATTGTCGCAGCTGCATATCTCACGACCAGGTACTGCCCAATCAGAAAACACCTTCTCCAATCATCTTTCTTTCGATTCGTTCACTGCCTATGAGGTCTACAAATGACAAGTTCTCCAACCAATGAAATTGCGTCGCTGATGTTCGCACATGCGCTTCGACTTGACACTACAGCTACAGTGTTTGACACTCTAGCTCGAAAGCGCTTCGGGTTGACACGCCCTTGTTGACATGTCATCTCTACGGACACGAACTCAGAAATCCCAAGTAGTTTTTAACGGTTCCAGAAACTTCGAGACATTTACCCTTTGTATTACAGTACTACCCTCCCCAGCAGCAGCAAGAGCAGCAGCAGCACCCGTGTTTGCAAAGTCGCAGCATTTCCGCTTACACCGCACCCCAAAGCAGCAGCCAGTGTCGTTCAGCAATTCGCCTCTTCGCAAATGGCCCGCTTCATTTCGCGGACAGTTCAGTGCAGTAGTCTCGGACACAGGACCCTTCAACTCCATTCATGACGGCTCTTACAGTTTCTCTTCAATAACGGATAGTGTCCTTCAGTTTCTCTTTCCGTTTTTCGTGTAGCTTGTGAATCTTGCGCTGTTTTCGAAGCTTGCTAGTACTGAGTACATTTTCCTTCCATCGATCATGCTGATTGGAATTTTCGCACATGCATTTACCTCAAAGCCCCTCGTTCTAAGCAGCACTCTAAGGTCGTGACGCCTCGCGATTCGTGCATGTCACCTGCATGTCATGTCTTATGACTGTATTCTTCGCGCCTTCAATGTCTTTACTAGCCTCTAGAGTTGTTACTACTATGGTGTCAGCCGTATCTCAGCCTCGTAAAACCATTGACTGCGTCTATCTCCCTATCGCAACAGCCATTCTATACTGTCTCTCTCAACGAATCGAATCGACGTCTCTCGGATTTTCCAGGGCCGTCGACATCGACATCGTTATAGAAATTTGCCTCTATAACCCATAGCGTTAGTGCCCGTAGAAAAGTGTACCTAATTACCCTTGAAGTAAGTTTAGCCCATGAGCTTAAATAATGCCTCGAAGGCGCCCCGCACGTTCGGTGAGGGGGGAAGAAACTCGGGATGCGGGGGGGAAGGGGAAGGGAACGGGGAAGGGGAAGGGGAAGGTGAAGGGGAAGAGTGAAAGGAACGGAGGCAAGCGCGCGGGGGGCAGGAGTAAGGGCGTGGAAACTAGGGGTACGTTTAGAGGGGATGAGCGAGGAGGAAGGCGGAGGAGGGGACGAAAGGAGGGGGAGAGAGGGAGGTTAAGGAGGGGCGTAATGGCACCAAGAGGGGTAAGGGGAAGGGAGGTGCGAGGAGGAGGAATGGGGGGGGCGATACAGCTGTCAAGACGATAGTGCCCAGGAACATTGACGACAGGCCAGGTGATTTTTTTTTGCCCAGGTTGCTCAGGTGATAGATTCTGCTGATCCAGTGAAATTTGTTGCTGAGGCTGCTCAGGTGATTTTTTCCCTATGCCCAGGTGAGTTTTTCCCTATGCTCAGGTGAAAGTTTCCCTATGCTCAGGTGAAATCTGTTGCTGACGCGCATGCTATGTTCCCCTCCCCTCCCTCTCTCCCCATCTTGTGCGTCCGTTCCGCCCTCCCAACGCCAGAGTGCTTCCACTGCAGCAGCCTGTGGGACGTGCGTGTGGGTAAAGGTGTAGAACACATTTCTCCTCATACTGTGCTTGATCCCTCTACCCACACTCACGTCCCACAGGCTGCTGCGGTGGAATATGACTTGAGGTAAGTCACGATCCAACCATATTCTACGCTGCCCTTCCTCTCTCCCTCTTGTGCGTCCGTTCCCCCCTCCCATACGCCAGTGTTTGAATGCTTCCACCGCGGCAGCCTGTGGGACGTCCGTGTGCTGGGCAGAGGGAGCGACGCAGCAGCTGGCCAACTTTCACATGCCGGTCATGCGCATGGGCATGGGCATGACCACCTTTCACAGCACGAACATCCGTATGGGCATGCGCATACCCACCTTTCACAGCACGAACATGCGTATGGGCATGCTCATGCCCACCTTCCACAGCACGAACATGTGCATGGGCACTCTGGGCAGCATGGAGATGAGTACAATAATGGTCATGATGATGATAATGGTGGTCATGGGGATGTGAATCAGCATCAGCAACACCACCATCAGCACCAGCATCATGGTCAGGAACAGCATCATGATCAGGAGCAGTATCATGATCAGGAGCAGCATCAAGAGAAGCAGCAGGATGATGCGCATGGTATGACTGACGGCGCTGCACCCAGTGCCATGTATGCCCTGGACTTCCCTGCAGAAGCACACCATACATCCCCTGCCCTGCTGCTCCCCGGCCCCTCGTGCCACCACCACCGCCCTCATTTCCCTTCACCAGCTGATGACCCTCTTAGTCTGCCGCACGACCCCCCTTCCCTGCACGAGAATGAAAGCCCTGCATGGAACCCTAACCGACAGCGTGGAGATTCGAACCCGGGTCTGCAGCTTGAAGCGGTGCACTCAGGTTGCCAGCAGCCGGAGTTGAACCCGGGTCTGCAGCAGTACAGGGTGACATACACCAAGTTTGAGGGCGACGATGAGGACGTGGTGGGCTTGCGCCTGCGCCTGCGCTCGCGTCCTCTCACTCTGGAGGACTGTGCGCGCGTGCGCGAGGGCATGGTGGTGGTGGCGTTCGTGAAGCACCCCGAGGGGGACCCCAGCGTGGATGCAGAGGTGAGGCGAGTTTGGGTTGCGGCTGGGACCGACTCTCTGGGTTGCTTTATGGGTGAGACAGGGCAGGGCATGGTGGTGGTGACGTTTTTCAAGTAGCCCGACCCGAGGGAGACCCAAGTGTGGATGCCGAGGTGAGTGGCGAGTTTGGGTTGAAGGGGGGCTACTTGTGGGGGAGTGCGCGCTCAGCGTGGGGGAGTGCGCGCGCGCGCGCGGGAGGGCATGGTGGTGGTGGCATTCGTCAAGCACCCCCCCGAGGGCGACCCCAGTGTGGATGCCGAGGTGAGGCGAGCTTGGGTTGCAGCTTGGACCGACTGTCTGGGTTGCTTCATGGGTGAGACAGGGCAGGGCATGGTGGTGGTGGCGTTCGTGAAGCACCCGGATGGCGAGGGAGACCCCAGCGTGGATGCAGGGGTGAGTGCGACCCAGGTTGGTTTGAGGGGGGGGCGGGCTCTTCAAGTGCGCACACCCAGCATGCGGGAGTGCATGCGCGTGCGTAAGGAAGGGAGGGCATGGTGGCGGTGGCATTTGTGAAGCACCCCAAAGGAGACCCCAGTGTGGATGCAGAGGTGAGTGCGACCCAGTGCAGTGCCCTCTTGTATGCCACTTGGACTGTGCTGGTGCTGCTGGGGCCCATGCTCTTTTATCACCCCAGGTGCTTCTTTCTTATATCCTCTTCTCTCTTCCCCAAACCCCCACCCTGCATCCCCCTCTCTCCTCTCAGGTGCACTACGATGTGAGGGCTATGGTGATTCTAATGAAGCTCCACGAGGTGCTTCATGCAGCAAAATCCCCCGCCCACACTCTTCTGTCTGTTCCCCTTCTCGCCTTAATCTCTCAGGCGCTCTATGATGTGAGGGCAGTGGCGATTCCAAGGAAGCTTCACGTGCAGCAGCAAACCACCTTCCTCTTCCCCCCTATCCCCGCCCCGTTATCCCCTCCTTCCTTCCCCTCGCAGGCGCACTAAGATGGAAGGGTGGTGGCGATTGAAAGGAAGCCCCACGAGGAGCTGCTTGCAGCACGCTTCCATCTATATCCTCCCCCTATTAGCTCCGCTCTTCCCTCCCTCCTCGCAGGCGCACTATGACGGCAGGCTGGTGGCGATTGAAAGGAAGCCCCACGAGATGCTCCTTACCGCAAACGCCCACTTAGCTTCCCCTACCCTGCCTTCCCTCTCTCCCTATCTCTCCTCCACACCCCTCTCAGGCGCACTACGACGGCAGGGTGGTGGCGGTTGACAGGAAGCCCCACGAGGTGCCGGCGAGGGGCAGGAGGGCGCGCTGCGAGTGCACCTTCTATGTGCGCCTCTTCCACCACCGCGTCACCTGGCCCCCGGATCCCCCCCCCGCCCCTGCCCCTGCCTCTGCCTCTGCTGCCCGAGACCCTGCTTCGTCAACAGCGGCAGCATCAGCAGCAGCAGAAGTAGTCCAATCTGCCCCCAGTACCAGCAACTGCAGCAGTGATTGCGGCGATGACAGCCACAGCAGCAGTCACGGCGACAGCAACGACAGCAGTAATAGCAGCAGCAGCGATGACAACAGCAGCAGCAACAGTGATGCCGGCAGCAACAGTGACAGCGGCAGCGAGGCCGAAAATAGCAGCAGCAGTGAGGAGGAGGAGGGTCTGGATGAGAGCCCCACGTGCTACGTGGCAGGTGACGGGCGGGACAGCGCTCTCAAGTGGCGTGCCGTGCGCTGCTCCCTCTCCGCCCTCTGCGTGCGCGTCAACCCCCTCTGCTCGCTCCCCCTGCTGCTGCAGCACCACCTGGAGTCTATCGGGCAGCCGTACCCTGTGCCCCGGGTGGAGTGGTGGAGCAGGGTGGGGGGAGAGGAGGTGGTGGTGAGTGGGTGGGGGTGGGAGGACTGGCGGGTGGATCAGCCGTTCTCGTGGCAAGGGTTGGTGCTCATGGCTCCTGGTGTGGCTGCTGCTGCTGGTGATGGTTGTGGTGATGGTGGTGATGTTGCTGCTGCTGTTGATGCTGTTGCTGCGGATTTTGGTTTTGCTGCTGCCGATGCTGCAGCAGCAGCAGCAGGTGCTGATGCTGCTGGTGCTGCTGCTGCCGGGTATGCCATGAGGAGGAGTGGCGTGGGAGCGGATGGCATGGATGCGAATGCTAGGACTTGCCACAATGGCATGCATGGTGCTGACTACAGCAGCGGGCCCAGGGATCACAGGGGTGCTGCAGACACTAGGCATTGGAGCGATCTTTCTGCTACTGCTGGTGGTCGCAGGCAGCGGCACGATCTCCCTGCTGCTGTTGCTGCTGGTGGCAGGTGCGCATTGGATGTGCTCGGTGCTGGTGGGGCGCCCTTTGCTCCTGCCAATGCAGCCTGCTGTGCTGCTGCCTCCCCACCCCCTGCGCTCCCTGCCCCTCTGCCCTCATGTGCGAGTGGCAATGAGGGTGGGGCCGGCGGGGGCAGCACTGGTGGTGGGGTCAAGGCACACTGTTGGTGCGGTGATGGTGCTGACAGGAGTGCTGCTGTTGCTGCTTCTGCTGGTAGTGATTTTGCTGCTGCTGTTTCTGCTGGTGGTGCCTTTGCTGCCGCTGTTTCTGCTGCCGCTGCTTCTGCTGGTGCTGTTTCTGCTGGTGGTGCCTTTGCTGCCGCTGTTTCTGCTGCCGCTGCTTCTGCTGGTGCTGCTTCTGCTGGTGCTGCTTCTGCTGGTGCTGCTTCTGCTGGTGCTGCTTCTGCTGGTGCTGCTTCTGCTGGTGCTGCTTCTGCTGGTGCTGCTTCTGCTGGTGCTGCTTCTGCTGGTGCTGCTTCTGCTGCCGCTGCTTCTGCTGGTGAGGCTCGTGCTGGTAGCAGTGGCAGAGGTGGCAGTTGCAGCGCCTGGCATCTCCCTGGCATGTCTGTTGCCCCCCCTCATGACGGTCCATCTGAGGGGGAGGGTCAACGGAGGGTGTTCGACTGTGAGGGAAGCTGGGGAGGGGACGATGGGGGAGAGGGGGATGGGGGAGGGGAGGATGGGGGAGAGGGAGACGTGATAGGGTGGGGAGTGGGTGGGGAAGGAATGAGAGAGTGGGAAGCGGAGGAAGGTGCATTGGAGGACGAGGAGAAGGAGTGGGAGGAGGAGGAGGAGAAGGAATTGGGGGAGGAGGAAAAGGAAATCGGGGAGGGAAAGGAAATGGGGGAGGAAAAGGAAATGGGGGAGGGAACGGAGTTGGGGGAGGAGGAAAAGAAATTGGGGAAGCAGGAAAAGGAATTGGAGGAAAAGATGAAGGCACTGGAGGAGGAGAAGAAATTGGAGGAGGAAACGGAAGTGGGGAAGGGGGGGAAGGAATTAGAGGAGGAGAAGAAGAATTTGGGGGATGAGGAGAAGGAAATGGGGGAGGGAAATGAGTTGGGGGAGGAGGAAAAGGAATTGGCGAAGCAGGAAAAGGAATTGGAGGAAAAAATGAAGGCACTGGAGGAGGAGGAGAAGAAATTGGAGGAGGAAACGGAAGTGGGGGAGGGGGGGAAGGATTTAGAGGAGAAGGAATTGGGGAAGAAGGAAAAGGAATGGGGGGAGGCGGAAAACGAATTGGAGGAGGGGGGGAAGAGAGCAAGTGATGATGATGACGTCATGGAGGTGCAAGAGGGACCAGGGGGGAACGAGGTAGAGACGGAGGAAGAGGTGAAAGAGGTGGGGAACGAGGAGGAGAAAGAGGAGGAGGGTAAAGAAGGGGAGGAAGAAGAAGAGAAAAAGGAGGAGGAGAAAGAAAGGGAGAAAGAGGAGGAGAAACATGAGGAGGAGAAAGAGGAGGAAGAAGGGGAGAAAGAGGAGGAAGAAGGGGAGAAAGAGGAGGAAGAAGGGGAGAAAGTGGAGGAAGAAGGGGAGAAAGTGGAGGAGAAAGAAGGGAAGAAAGAACAGGAGAAAGATATGGAGGAGAAGGGGGAGAGAGTGGAGAAGAAAAAGGAGGAGAACCAGGAGGAGAGACATGAAGTGAAGGAAAATAAGAAAACGGAGGAGGAGAAGGAGGAGGAGGAAGACGAAAGCGGAATAGGCAAGGCTGCTGAAGGAGTTTGTGAGAGGGAGAAAGGAGAGACTGATGTAGATGGGTTGAGACGCATGACACGTCAACCGTCTGATGATCCATGTACGTTAAAGGTGAGTTTGGTGAAGCGCGTTATACGGCACCCTTCAGATGCGCTGGCGCAACAGGCGAGGTGGGTCGCCTGTAATGTGGCAGGTGAAGAGGGAGATGACGAGGAGAGTGATCGGCATAAGTGCAGGCAGGGTTGTGAAGGCAGGGACGGCGGGGTTGGTGGGGAAGTTGGGGAATGCGGGGATGGTGTGGATGGTGGGGGGGATGGTGAGAGAGGAGAGGGTGAAGGACTGGGCGGGGATCGGGGGGGGCATGCGGTACAGGGTGAGGAGGAGGGGCGAGAGGGGAAGGGTGGGGAGGAGGAGGGACGAGAGGGGAAGGGTGGGGAGAGGGGCAGTGGAGGAACGGGTGGGGAAAAGGGGGAGTTTGAATGTCGGGAGACGCCGCAGCATTACCTGAGGAGCAGGAGACGGAGGGAGGAAGAGGGAGGAGTGAATAGGAGAGGAGAGGAACGGAGAGGAGAGGGAGGGAGAGGGCTGGAAGGCAGAGGAGTAAAGCGAGGAGCAGGGCACTGGGGCCAGCTTGGCAGGGCGAGGGGCCGTCGCGTGTGCCGCCATGCCCCTCCTCAGCTGCTGTTCGGGCCTCCACCCTTCCATGCTGAGCCACCTGCTGCTGCTGTTGCTCCTGCTGCTGCTGCTGCTGCTGCTGCTGCCCCACCTGCCCCCTCTCTACCCGCACGTGACACAGGCACACCAACTGCGCCACCTGCACCATCTGCATCACCTGCATCACTCGCCATGCGTGATTTCCTACTGAGAATGCCCACACATGACACAGACACTCCTCCTGCTCCACCTCACTCCTCCACAGTCCCTGCTCCCTCCCCTCCCCCACCCAATCCACCTGCTCCACCTGCTTCACCTGCATCACTCGCCATGCGTGGCTTCCTGCTGAGAATGCCCACACGTGACACAGGCGTTTCTCCTGCTCCACCTCACTCCTCCACAGTCCCTGCTTCCTCCCCCCTCCACCCACTGCACCCGCTCCACCTGCTCCTCCACCCGTCGCTCTCTCCCTACCTGCCACCCTCGGCACAATCCTAGCTGCTGCTGGCAACACAGCTCCTCCGGCCGCCTGCGTGACTCAGGAGGCGAACAGTCTGACTCAGCAGGCCAGCTGCGTGAGTCAGCTGGTGAGGTGCGTGACTCAGCGGGCCAACAGCTTGGCACCGCAGGGGAGCAGGGTGTGCGAGGAGCAAACCAGCGTGGTGCTGCAAGGATTTGGCTTGGTTCTCATCACAGCCGAAGCAGCTGCAGCCCAGCCATCCCCGCACCCGTTGCCTGTCCAGCCAAACACTCACCCCTCGCCTGTCTGTTTTACAACTCGGCCAAACTCTGCTCTTGAAGCGGCTCAGCGGCCAAACCCTCCTGCCCAGCCCACTGCTCAGCCCTCTCCTGCCCAGCCTATCGCTCAGTCATCTGGTGCCCGTTCTGCAGCTGAAACGCTGCCTGACCGGCCACCACTCGTTCTTGAACCCTCTTCTGATCCCTCTCGCAGCCTCCCCCCAACCACACCCCAAGCCTCGCTCCGAAATCAAGATCCGACCCCCATTCAAGACCAGGCATCCGCGCATGGATCTCCCCCCACCCAGCCCTCTCCTTCCATGGAGCTCCCTGCAAGTTCTCAACACCTCTCCCCTGCAACTGCGCCTGCAACTGCGCCTGCAACTGCACCTGCAACTGCCCCGTCTGCCCCTGTGACTGCCCCATCTGCCCCGGAAAATGCCCCAACTGCCCCTGTGACTGCTGCTGCGATTGGCCTTAGTTTCATTGAGGCAAGAGGGCAGATGCAGCAGGCACGGGGGGAGCATGCTTCGAGCTCTGGAGAAGAGGAGCGAAGGGAGCGGTGGGCAGGGACAGAGAGGGAGGTGGGAGAAGTGGCAGGGAGAATGGCAGGAGGAGAGGAAGCGGGGATGGAGGAGAGCAAGCAAGGGGAGGAAGAAGAAGAGGGTGCAACGGGGGAACAAGGGGGAGAGGGAGCGAGGAGGAGGGAGCAAGAGGGCGAGGGAGTGAGGAGGAGGGAGCAAGAGGGCGAGGGAGCGAGGAGGAGGGAGCAAGAGGGCGAGGGAGCGAGGAGGAGAGAGCAAGAGGGCGAGGGAGCGAGGAGGAGGGAGCAAGAGGGCGAGGGTGCAACGAGGGGCCAAGGGGAGGGAGAGGGGCGAGTGCGAGACGAGCAGATGCGCTGGGGGGAGAATGAGCAGACGCGAGGGGAGGGGATGATGCAGAGAGAGGGACGGATGCAGAATGGAAGGCAGATGCGGATTGAAGGGCAGATGCGGAGTGAGGGGCAGATGGGGATTGTGGGGCGACAAGAGCAAGGGAGGGAGGGTTGGAGGACGCGGGAGGGTGCAGAGCAGAGAGGGGAGCAACGAGTGCAGGGAAGAGCTGAGAGAGGGGCGTTTCAGAGAAGACTTGGTGGGCAAGCGGTGCAGAGCAGAGAGGAGGGAGGGGTGCAGGGAAGAGAGGAGGGAGGGGTGCAGAGAAGAGAGGAGGGAGGGGTGCAGGGAAGAGCGGAGGAGAGAGGGGTGCAGGGAGGAATGGGGGGACGAGGAGTGCAGGGAAGAGCGGAGGGGGGACGGCGGGTGCAAAGCAGGGATGGGAGCGGGAGGCAGCAGAGGGTGGTGATTGTGCTTTCGGATAGTGAGGAGGAGGAGGACGCTCTTGCTGATAGCTCTGTCACTGATGCTGCTGCTGCTGCTGCTGATGCTGCTGGTTGCGCTGCTGGTGGTGCTGATGTTGCTGGTGCGGCTGCTGTTGTTGGTGCTCCTGGTTTTGCTGGTGCTGGTGGTAACGTTGTCGCTGGTGCTTCTGGTGCTGCTGGCATCAGTGCCAATGCAGGCAGTGCCCAATTGGGACGCGAAAGTTTAGAGGGCCAGGGAGAGAACAGTGAAGGCTGGGGTGCCACTTGTGCTGCTGCTGTCGCTGCTGCTGTCGCTGGCATAGCTGTTGGTGCTGCTGCCGCTGCTGGCATTGCTGCTGCTGCTGGTTATGCTGGCAATGCTGCTGGTTCTGCTGCCGATGCCGGTCCTTCTGCTGGCTATGGTGATGGTGCTCGTTATGGTAATGGTGATGGTGATGGTGGTGATGTTGGTGAGGATAGGAATGGCGTGGAGGGGTTGGGAGCGGTGGTGAGGGACAGATGGTCTGGAAGCGACAACAGGGGGATGGAAGGACACGGTTTAGACCTAGGTGGTGGTGGTGGTGGTGTGGGTGGGACGGTGAGAGGTGTGGGAGAGGGTGCGAGGAATGGAGGGGAGGGAGAGAGGGAGAGTAGGCAAGAGAGGGAGGAGATGAATGGGGAGAGGGGGGAGGAGATGAGGGGGGCGGGGAGGAAAGACAGGAGGGAAGACAGGAGGGAAGACAGGAGGGAAGACAGGAAGGAGGAGAGGAGGGAAGAGAGGGGAGAAGAGAGGAGGGAAGAGAGGGGGGAAGAGAGGAGGGAAGAGAGGAGGGAAGAGAGGAGGGAAGAGAGCAGGGAAGAGAGGAGGGAAGAGAGGAGGGAGGAGAGGAGGGAAGAGAGGAGGGAAGAGAGGAGGGAAGAGAGGAGGGAAGAGAGGAAGGAAGAGAGGAGGGAAGAGAGCTGGGAAGAGAGGAGGGAAGAGAGGAGGGAGGAGAGGAGGGAAGAGAGGAGGGAGGAGAGGAGGGAGGAGAGGAGGGAAGAGAGGAGGGAAGAGAGGAGGGAAGAGAGGAGGGAAGAGAGGAGGGAAGGAGAAGTTGTGAGGCTGGGAGGGGCAACTGGGAGTATGGAGCTGGAGGAAGGGGAGGTGGTAGAAGATGAGGAGGAGGTGGAGGAAGGGGAGGAGGTGGAGGGAGGGGAGGAGGTGGCAGAGGAGGAAAATGATGTGGGCTGCATGGGGGCATGGAGGGGAACGAGAGGGAAGGCAGTGCGGGTGCAATGGGTGGGTCACGTGCAGGGGAAGAGAGGAGTGACCAGCCCCCTGTGAGGCACCCTTACCAGCGGGTTTCAATGCAGTGAGTAAAGAGGCGCTCAGGGGAGGGCCGGTGGGCATGGCCATGCCGATGGATGGAGGAGAGGCAAAAACGAGAGGGCTAGGCATGGCGATGCCGATGGATGGAGAGGTGCAAAAGAGAGGGCTAGGCGTGCCCATGCCCATGCCCATGCCCATGGCCATGGGTGCTGCTCATGTGATCGTTCTATCGGATGATGAGGACGATTTGGATCAGGCGCAGGAGGGCCGAGCAGTGGAGGATCGGGCGGCTGAGGCTCGGATGAAGGGTGGTCGGGAGGAGGAAGATAGGGCGGAGGAGGCTCGGGTGAGGGAGGTTCGGGTTGAGGAGGGCGGGGCGGAGGGTTGGGCGGAGGAGGATGGAGTGAAGGGGGAGGGAGGAGAGGAGGAGTGCAGGATCGGCGGGAGAGTGGAGTACTTTGCAAGAAAGGAAGGGGAGAGTGGGGCGGGGGGGTAGTGGGGGAAAAAGAGGCTGCTGGAGTGGCGGGAGGCGATGCAGAGGAGTGGAATGACGAGAGGCAGGAAGGACAGAAAGGGCAGGAGGCGCAGGAAGGGCAGGAGGGGCAGGAGGGGCAGGAGGGACGGGGGTTTCAGGGGGCGGAGGGGGAAGGCAGGAGTGGAGGAAGAAGGGGATGGCATGGCAGGGAAGAGCGGGAGGGGAAAGGCGACGGAGATGCATGTGTAGGGTTGGAATCAGAGGGGTCTGGAGTGAGAGTGAGTGAGTGTGGGATGCGGGCTGGTGCTGTGGAGAAAGGGGAGGTGCACGAGAGGGACGACGGGGGCAAGGAGGGCGTGAAGGGTGAGGAGGGGGAGGAGGGCGGGCAGGGAGGGCAGAGAGGGCAGGGCGAGGAAGGAGGGGAAGAGGGGCAGGGAGGGCAGGGCAGGCAGGGGGATGAAGGGGAGGAGGGCGAGAAAAGGGAGGAGAAGAATAAGGTAGAGTGTGGAGTGGTAGGGGCATGTGGGGTGATGCAAGAGCCTGGAGAGAAGGGGACGCGGCAGAGGAGTGTTGGTGCAGCAGGGAAGAAAGCAGGGAGCAGAGTGAGGGATCGGGGCAGGAAGGAGAAGGTGACTTCTGAGTCGATTCGAAAGAGAGTGCGGGAGAAGGACACGAAGGAGGGGGTGGAGGGGAGGCGAGTGGAAGGGAGGGCAGCGGCGTGGCATGGGAAGGAGGTGATTGTGCTGGATGATAGTGATGAGGAGGACTGTAACGAACGTGCTTGCAAAGAGGACGAGAGAAACAAGGGGTACGATGATAAAGTAAGAGATGGGGAGTGTGAGAGAGATGGGGTGAACAGGGAGGGTGGAGAGAGGAGGAGGGAAGAGGATGCGGAGAGAGGGCTCCGTGAGGGAAATGGGGAGATGGTGCGAGGGAGGGAGTGTGGCGGGGAGGAGGAATCAGAATTAGAGGAAGGGGAGGTTCGAGACGGGGAGGAGGACGAGGAGGATGGGTGGACTGGTGCGGGAGGGGAGGTTGGGATTGGTGGGGGAGAAAGGGAGATAGTGAACGATTTTGGGAGTGATAAGGAGGGTAAGGAGGTGAGGTGTGATGAGGGTGGGGAGGTGAGGTGTGATGATGGGGTAATGGATGTTGCGAGTGGTGGGGCAGAAGTGGAGTTAGGGAATAATGCTGGGGATGGTGAGGAGGGTGGGGAGGTGAGGTGTTATAAGGAGGACGAGGAGAGGAAGGAAGAGGAGAGGAAGGAAGAGGATAGGAAGGAAGAGGAGAGGAAGGAAGAGGATAGGAAGGAAGAGGAAAGGAAGGAAGAGGAGCGGAAGGAAGAGGAGAGGAAGGAAGAGGAGAGGAAGGAAGAGGGGCGGGCAGAGAAACAATCAGGTGACAGGAGAGGAGGAAGGGACTGAGGAGGAATGGAATGGGAAAACGCGAGAGGAAGACGATACGGTGGAAGCAGGAGGAGGGGGGAGACCGGAGGGGCTGGGGCGTGCGTGGGGCTTACTTGCTGCTCGTAGCATCATCCCTCACCACCCCCACCATGTTGGTCAAACTCATGCTCATCTCTCTCGCCCTCGTTGCCCCCGTCACCCTGCTGCACCTCCTGTTGTGGGTGCTCGTGCTTCTAACACAGCAGGTGGTGTGAGGGAGAAGGATGAGGTCGAGGAGGTGATTGTGTTGCTTGATGCTGAGGAGGAGGAGGAGAAGGATGGGGATGATGGGGGAGAGGAGGGAGAGGAGGAGGGAGAGGAGGAGGGAGAGGAGGAGGGAGAGGAGGAGGGTAGGGTGGGAGAAAGACAGGGGAGAGAGGAAGGAGAGGAGACAGGGGTAGGGATGGCGGTTAGAATGGGCAACAGGGGAAGAGAAGGAGAGGGGATGGGGGTAGAGGAAGCAAGGAAGGAAGAGGGAGAAAGGAAGGGGAGACCACACACAGGGGTGGAAAGAGTGGAGGAGGAGGGCGAGGAGGGGGAGGAGGGCGAGGAGGGGGATGGAGTGGGAGAGCAGGGAGGAACTGAAGGGGTGGGGCGAAAACAGGAAGGTGGGGGGGCTGAGGAGGAAAGCAAGGAGCAGCCAGAAGAGTTGGAAAGGGTCTCAGGTGGAGAGGTGGACGGGGAAGGAAGGAGCACGGGTAAGAGGGCAGACAGGGAGGAGGACGGGGAGGGAAGGAGCAGTGGCAACAGGGCAGTTTTTGTGCCGACTCGAGAGTTACCAGAAGAGTTGGAGGAAGCACCAGGTGGAGAGTTGGAAGGGGAAGGAAGGAGCACGGGTAAGAGGGCAGGCAGGGAAGCGGAGTGGGATGTGTGGGGTTGGGAGCGTGCGTGGAAGAGGGCGAAGAGTGCGAAGAGTGCTGTGGATGAGTGGCTAGATGAGGGGGATGACGATATGGTGGGGGAGGGTGAAGAGATGGTGGGGGCGGGTGAGCGAGGTGGGGAGGGAGGGGAGGAGAGTGGGAGGGAGGAGGAGAGGCAGGGGGGAGGGGCAGGAAAGGCAGGAAAGGCAGTAGAGACAGTAGAGGCAGTAGAGGCGGTGAATGCAGAGCAGTGCGTGCATGGGAATGAGGTGGTGTGCTGTGCTCCGTGTGTGGGAGAGAGCAGGAGGATGGAGGGCGATGGGGCGAGGAAGAGGAAGCGAGTTGTGCTGGAGGGAGAGAGGGAAGAGGGGCAGGAGGGGCAAGAGGGGCAGGAGGGGCAGGAGGGGCAGGAGAGAGAGAGGGGGTTGAGTGAGGTGGGGGGTGAAGAGGGGCACTGGAGTGGGGTGGCAGGAGAGAGGGGCGAGGGAGGCAGTGAGGCAGAGCAAGGGAGGGAGAAGGAGAGTAGCTGGGAAGTTGTGACGAGAGATAAGCACGAGGAGAAGCAGGAGGAGCAGATGGAAGAGAAGAAGGAAGAGAAGCAGGAGGAGGAGGAGGAGCAGCAGGAGGAGCAGCAGGAGGAGCAGCAGGAGGAGCAGCAGGAGGAGCAGCAGGAGGAGCAGCAGGAGGAGCAGCAGGAGGAGCAGCAGGAGGGCAGGTGCAACGAGGAAGGCACAGAGGGGATGCAGGGAGGGGCGAAAATGGGAGACCAGGAAGGGGCGAAAATGGGAGACCAGGGGCTTGTAGGCACAGGGGAGAAAGCGGAGGATGGAGCTAAGGGGGAGGAGGAGGCAAGGAAAGAGGTTGACATGGAGGCCACTGCAACTGCTGCAACAGCCACGAGAGCCTTAGATGTGCTCCTCACGTCTGCCCTTCCCACTGCATCTCCCCGCCTCCACCCCTCTGCTTCACCTGCATCCACCGTTCCTTTCCCTCCCACTCCAACATCGCCGCAGCCTCCTCCCACCTCCTCCTCCCCACCTGTTGCCGCGACTCCTTATGCTCCCTTATCTGCCCCCTCCTCTTCTGCCCCCTCCTCTTCTGCTCCCTCCTCTTCTGCTCCCTCCTCTTCTGCTCCCTCCTCTGCTCCCTCCTCCTCTGTACCCTCCTCTAATCCCGCGTCACCCTCTCCTTCAACCCACACTGCTCCTCCCCCTTCTGCTCCTGCAGCAGTGCAGAAGCAGCAGGTCGAAAGACACAGGGAGCAGCAGCAGCAGCAGCAGCAGCAGCTGTTGCGTCAGCAGCAGCAGCAGCGGCGACAGCTGCTTCAGCAGCAGCTGCGAGAGGAGCAGAGGGAGCGTGAACGAAAGAAAGCGAGGTTGGAAGAGAAGCTAGCAAGGGAGAGGGACGCACGGGGGGGAAAGGGTCCTGTGCCGGCGTCTCTCATCAGCATGGGGCTCATCGTTGATAAACTCAAGGCCAGAAAGGCTGCTGCTGATGAGGGGATGGGTGGGGGAAGGACTGACAGTGGTGATAGGGATGGTGATGATGATGATGATCATGCAGGAGCACATGATGGGACGGATACTGATAGTGATGATGATGGGGATGGGGATGGTGGAGGAAGTAGTGATGGTGAGAGTAGTGGCTCGGACGAGGAGAGTGAGGAGGAGGAGGAGGAGGAGGAGGAGGAGGAGGAGGAGGAGGAGGAGGAGATTGTGGGCGGCATGGGGAACGGCATGGGGAATGGCATGGTGCGTGGCATGCGGGCATATGATGAGAGGAGGGATGGCGTGTGTCGGTACGACGGGGGGCGGCATGTGGTGGTGGAGGAGGATGCGATGGAGGAGGAGATCTGTGCCCAGTGCGGCATTCTCTTGAGGAGCGCCCACGTGTCGCTGGTGAGTTGTGTTTGGGGTTTGGGCGTGTGTTGATACGATGGGGGGCGGTGGTGGAGGAGGATGCAATGGCGGGGGAGATCTGTGCCCAGTGCGGTGCGGCTTTATTTTCAAGAGTGCGCACGAGCTGTCGCTGGTGAGTTGTGGTTGGGGTTTAGGTGTGTGCTTGCATGTTGAGGGGCGGCATATGGTGGAGGAGGATGCGATGGAGGGGGAGACCTGTGCCCAGTGCGGCGTACTCCTCAGAAGAAGCGCCCACGAGCTGTCGCTGGTGTGGTGAGTCGTCATGCGTTGTGTTGTGCTCCCGCGTGTGGCTTGTTGCATGCCTTGCTTGCAGTGTGGAGGGGGAGGCGTGTGCCAAGCCAAGAGCGGCATTGTCCTCAAGAGCGCCCACGAGCTGTCGCTGGTTGGTTGGGTCAGGTTTAGGGTCCAAGGTTTTTGGGTTAGGGACTGGGGTTAAGGTCCAGGTGGTTACGAGCTTCGCGTGTGGCTTCTTGTGTATTTGCTCTGTGGAGGAAGTTTTTTTTTAGTCGACTCAAAACTCGACTATGTGTAGGAAGAGGTCCGTGGCAGCTGCAGGCGCTGAGCCATGTGGAGGAGCAGCAGCGCCTCCGGGCAGGCAGGCAGCTCAGCAAAGGGGCATTCATCGTATTCACTCCTCATAACTCCCATGTCCCTTACTTCTCGACATTTCCCATTTCTTTTCTCCTCTCCTGCTTCTCCCCTTTCTCGTCCACAGCTCCCAAATCGCCCGTCCCCAGGGGCTGCAACAGCCACCAGGCGGGCGCACCTCGCTCCGTGGCAGCTGCAGGCGCTGCAGGCGAGGCGGGCCATGGATGCTGCCCATGCAGAGCTTGACTGGGAGGAGCAGCAGCGCCACCAGGCAGCGCAGCGCAGCGCAGTGGGCGAGCAGGCAGCATGCGCGCTCCTCTCAACTCCCATGCCCCCCGTTTCTCCCGTTTCTTGTGCTCCGCTTTCTTCCACAGGTCCCGAATAGCCGGTCCCCAGGGGCGGGGGTGAGCAACAGCAACAGGCGGGCGCACCTCGCCCCGTGGCAGCTGCAGGCGCTGCAGGCCAGGCGGGCCATGGAGGCTGCCCTGGCAGAGCTTGACCGGGAGGAGCAGCAGCGCCGCCAGGCAGCGCAGCGGGAGAGGGAGCGGCAGCGGAGAGAGAGGGAGAGGGAGAGGGAGCTTGAGCGGCGGCAGCAGCTTCTGGGGGAGATCGGGGTGGAGCACGATTGCTGGCCGTCGGATTTCCTCCGGCGGAGGATGCAGAGCCATCAGATCGCGGCGTTCAGGTTCATCTGGCACCACCTAGTGGCTGGGGGCGGGGAGAGACCAGGGGAAGGGCGAAGGGGAGCGGACGGGAAAGAAGGGAAATCAGAGCGGAGGGAAGTAGGGGGGTGCATCTTGGCCCATGCCCCTGGCACGGGCAAGACACTCACCACCATCGCTTTCATCGAGAAGCTCCTCTCGCTGCACCACCACAGCCGCGAGGCGGGGACTCTCAGAGCCTCTGCAATCAACAGTGCAACCAGCAGTACGAGGGGCACTCCCCCGCGCATCCTGATAGTGACGGAGCTGTCCATAGTGGATTCATGGTGGGGCGAGTTCCACAAGTGGATCACCACCCGCGCCCAGCGGGCCGTCGTCCCCTCCCTTAATGTCCTGGAAGGCGGCGCCGCAGGGGGCATTCGCGAGGCTGAGAGGGTGGCCAAGGCGTGGAGTGAGAAGGGGGGAGTTTTGATTGCGACGTATGGGTTTCTGGAAGGGGTGATTGAGAAGCGGGGAGTGGGGGGGGCAGGAAGGGGAGGGGTGGGAGGGTTGGGATCGCAGGGGCGGGAGGAGGGGGTGTGGGCGAGGGGCGAGGTGCGGCGAGTGGTGGTGGAGGAGACAGATGTGTTGATCTGTGATGAGGGGCACCGCATTAAATCGCCCTCCACCATCTCACACCGGGTGAGTGTGCTGTGCTTGTGGCATTTGCCACTTTGATACATTGCGTCGAGTAATGGGTGGTGGTGTTGTGGTTGATACATCGTTACGCACGAACCTTAACCTCAATGGGTGAGCGTGGTTCGTCACAACACCCCTCTGTTTCCTCCCCTCCCCCCCCCACTTCCTCTCTTTCTCCCCCCTCAGACCTTGCACTGGTTGCACTTGCAGTAGACGGTGGTGCTGAGCTGACGGGCTCGCCACTCGCTGTGTGTCATCTGTTGCTACGCGCGGCATGTGTTTGTTTCCCTTCCTCCCCCTCCCCGCGAGGCCCTGGACCGGCTGCACACGAGGAGGAGGGTGCTGCTGACAGGCACGCCGCTGCAGAACTCCACTCTCGAGCTGTGGGACCTGGCGTGCTTCGTGCACCGCCCGCGCATGCACTGCTCACACGCACACAGCTTGCTATGCACTGCACTGTTTCACCTGCTGCAACGCCCGTCCATTTCTGTCCGCTTTCTCTGTTTCTATCTCCATCTCTCCTGCCCACCAGGCCCTGGACAGGCTGCACACGCGGCGGAGGGTGCTGCTGACAGGCACGCCGCTGCAGAACTCCACTCTCGAGCTGTGGGACTTGGCATGCTTTGTGCACCGCCCGCGCATGCACCACGCCGTGCTGGGGATGGGTGGGGGAGGGAAGGGCAGGAGGAAGAGTGTGCAAATGAGGGGGAGCGAGGAGGAACGTGGAGGACAGGGGGAGGACGCGGTAGGGATGGAGGAGGATGATAGTGATGAGGAGGAGGAAGAGGAGGAGGAGGAGGAAGAGGAGGAGGAGGAGGAGGATGATATGGAGGAGGGGGTGCGTATTTGAGTAAGAGGGAGAGGAGGGAGCGGCGGAGAGCACGGGCTGAGTTTGTTCGGATCTTCGACGTTCCATTGAAGAAGACAGGGAGGAAAGTTGGGAGGAGGAAGGAGAGAGCGGGCAAGAGACGATGGCAAGAGGAGGAGGAGGAGGAGGAGAACGAGATAGAGACTATGGAAGAGGAGGAAGCAGAGGGCAGGGAGGGGGATGAGGAGGAAGTAAAGGAGGTGGAGGGAGGGGAAGGGAGGGAGCGGGCAGGAGCGAGGGGGAGGAGTGAGAGTGAGGGGTTGGGAGCGGAGGAGTTCCCATTGGTGAAGGTGCAGCGACTGAAGGCTCTCATGTTTGACCTCGTGCAGACCGACGGCAACGTGCTGCAGGGCAAGGTGCGAGGTATGGGACATGGCAATGAGAGTAGACGCATGCAGTGAGCTGTGAGGGAAGCAAGGCAGCATCATGAGCATGGCAGCTGGGAGCCTGCAGGGCAGGTTGAGTGGTATGAGCAATGGCAATGTGCTGTGCTGTGAGGTATGCTGCGAGGGACACACGGACGAAAGCTCACGTGCAAGGCAAGGTATTCAGGATATTTGTACAGTGGCGACCGGTACGTGCATGTGCCACGTCGCTTTTCGTGCCTGCATTTATCAAATGCGTTGATCATGTGCCTCTTTCCTTTCATTCACTTGCGGTTCTGCTTATCTTCTCATACCTTAAAGTCTTGCCCCTCCAAACTTGATCCTCATCCCTGCAGACCTGGTGGACGTGACGCTGCTGCTGCACCCCACGCCTCTCCAGCTCGCCATCCTGCGAGCATTCTACACTGCCACCGTTGCTCCCCGCCTCACCCAGCAGCACCTGCAGCAGCAAACCCTCTCTCGCAACAGCAACAACAGCAACAATACCAGCAGCAGCAGCTTGACAGGCGGCGCGAGCAGCGTCACTGGTGGCGGCAACAGCGGCGGGGGCACGGAGTGGCAGCTGTCGATGATCGATCTCAAGATCGTGGGCAGCCTGTGCGTGCACCCCTGCACCTTCGCATGGAAGCTTAACCGTGGCATCCGAGGCATGCCGCAGGCCATGCTCGCCATGCGCCACTTCCAACCACCACCACCTGCAGCACCAGCAGCTGCACCAGCACTTGCACCAGTAGCTGGAGGAGCAGCAGCTGGAGCAGCAGCGGGAGGAGGAGGTGGGAACTCCCCAGGTGGTAAGCCTGGTGCTCCTGCCCGTGGAAACAGATCGGGTGACAAATCGATTGGTGGGGTTTCCCAGGGCGAGGTGCGCTTTTTGGAGCGCAACAGGGAGGCGCTGAGCCCAGCGTGGGCAGCAATGGAGGAGCAGCAGGGCGTGCAGCTGTCTCCCAAGCTGGCAGCGGTGGTGGCGATCGTGCGGGCGGCGGTGCACATGGGCGAGAAGGTGGTGGTGTTTGCCGAGGAGCACGTGCATCTGGACCTCGTAGTGGGGTCTCTCTGCCATGCCATGTGAGTGCAGCTGGGTGGGAGATCCTTGCCTCGGGATGCACGACATGCTGCATCGGCACTCTGTGTGCATGGGCGTGTTTTGAGACGTCTCAAAACATGCTGCATCCGTACTCTGTGTGCGCATGGGCGAGAAGGTGGTGATGTTCGCTGAGGAGCACGTTCACCTGGACCTCGTGGTGGGGGTCGCTGTGCCATGTGAGTAGTAGCTTCCATTCGCACACCCTGCGAGTGCTTGGTGGGATCGCTGTGCCACACCATGTGAGTTGCATCTTCCTTGTCATGCCATGCTGGTTGGACAAGAGGCGAGCAGGTTCTGCGCGTGGTCTGTGTGCGGCGCCTCAACATTCTCCATCTCTTGATTGAGCAGCTATGCTGGTGTTACTTTTGAGAATTCTCAAAAGCAACACCAACATTCCCCGTCTGTTGTTTGAACAGCAGGGGCTGGACAAGAGACGAGTAGTGTTCTGCGTGGTTTCTCTCTTTGCGGCGCTTCAGATGGTTCCTCTCCCTTGTTTGAACGGCAGGGGCTGGGAGAGCGTCTATTTTTGGGGCGCCTAAAAAATGTTTGCGGCGCTTCAGTCGATTCCTCTCCCTTGTTTAAACGGCAGGGGCTGGGAGAGCGTCTATTTTTGGGGCGCCTAAACAATGTTTGCGACGCTTCAGTCGATTCCTCTCCCTTGTTTGAGCGGCAGGGGGTGGGAGAGCGAGGAGCAGGTGTTGCGGGTGGACGGCAGCATGACTCAGGCGCAGCGCAGCGACGCCTTCGAGCGGTTCCACAAGGAGAAGTTGCCGCAAGCAGCGGTGATGGTGGCGGCCGTCAAGGCGTGCGGGCTGGGCATTGACTTTACTGCTGCCTCACGGGTCGTCATGCTGGATGCTCTCTGGAACCCGGCTTCTGACCAGCAGGTATGGGATGTGCTTGGGACAGCAGGTGTGCTTCCGACCAGTAGGTATTAGGAGGCGTGTGTTTGCATGTGCATGCACTCTGGACCCCGGCTTCCGACCAGCAGGTATGGAGCACGAAGCATAGAGCATGGGGCACAGGCCATGCCGCAGATATTCTGGATGTCTTGCATACCACAGACCACACGTACCGCAGGTGATGCACGGGGCAGCAGCAGCAGCAATTGCATGTGTACCAGCTGCTATTGGCTCATCCTCCCCCCCACCACTCTTGGTCCTTCCACTCCACAAACCTGCACTCCCCCAGGCCATCTCTCGGGTGTGGCGGGTGCACGTGTATCGACTGCTACTGGAGGGCATGGGGGAGATGTACAAGCTGCGCTGCGCTCAGGCCAAGCAGCGCCTTGCACACGTCATCTTCCACTCCGCCACTGGCAGTGGCTGCTGCTGCTGCTGCTGCTGGTGATGCTGCTGGTGGTGGTGATGCTGCTGATGCTGCTGATGCTACTGCTACTGGTGAGTGCTGCCGAGCATCATCATCTCATTGCATCACGTCACCTCAAGCCAAGCAGCGCCTCGCACACGTCATCTTCCGCTCCGCCACCGCTGCTGGTGGTGTTGTTGTGTCTGCCGTTGATGTCGCTGGTGAGTACTGAGGAACCTCATCACCTCATCACCTCATCACCTCATCACCGCATCACGGCATCACAAGCCATACAGCGCCTCGCCCATGTCATGTTCCACTCCGCCACTGCTGCGTCTGTTGTTGATGCTTCTGGTGAGTACTGCAGAACCTCATCACTCCATCACCCCATCACCTCATCACGCCATCACCACCCCCTTCCCCCAACCCCCTCTTTCGGTCCCCCCCAAACCCACTGTGCAGGCGCATCCACCTCCCCCACTCCCAGCGACAGCTGTCTCTCCGACCCCATCCTCCGCCGCCTCCTCGCCATGCCATCCTCCTCCACCTCCCACCCTCCACACCCCTCCACCTCCCACCCTCCACACCCCTCCACCTCCCACCCTCCACACCCCTCCACCTCCCACCCTCCACACCCCTCCACCTCCCCCTCCTCTCCTCCTGGCTCCCATCGCCCTCGCTCCCCTCGTCCTCCCTCCTCTAGTCCCAACTCCTCCCATCCTCACAACCCTCTTCCTCCCTCCGCTCCTCCTGCCTCCTCCCATCTTCCCTCCACCTCGGGTCGATCCTCTCTGAGCACCTGTGCGGGCGGCCACTCAGATTGCGATGGGCGGCGGCTGATTTGCCGGGTGGAGGTGCAGAGAAATGGTGTTCCGACCACTGTACATTTGGGAAGGTAGGAGTGGCATTGAACCGGTGAAGGCTTTTGGATAGTTATGATTGGGTGGTGTGTTGAATGCCATCATCTTTTCTTTTGTAACACTTGTTCTTCCTGCACAACTTGTGACCATCCTGTATTGAGCTCCTTGTCTTGGGGCAGATGGCAATGGCCAGAACTGTACATAGTGATGTCGATTGTACACATGGAAGCTTAGCAAATTCACTACCTGGTGGAGGTTGTTGAGATAGGAAAGCAGGAATGGGTGCACTAGCATGAGTGAGGAGTACAAGTAGAGCTAAACCTAATGGATTCTACTCTATACAGTCTACCCCACTGCGCCTACACAATATATGAGTTATTTTTACACACCCCCATAGGCGAAGTGGGAGGGGGATAACAAACACAACAAGCGGTCACAAGATCAGTCAAGAGAACAAAACAAAACAAAGCAAGCTCATGGTGGATCTCAAGATCACCACCACGCATTCCGAGCACACGCAACCGGCCACAAGGCCAGTTTACATGCAATTTTATAATAGAGCAAGCCGGACAATGATTACAACAAAGCAACCAGAAACATGCAGGTTTATATATCAAACTACAAGACAAGATCAAGAGACAAGCAGTGTTGGCCTGTATGGCCACGTACGAAGGCGAAGCTGGGAACGTTGCTGCAACACTCGCACGGCAAAGAAAACGAAGTGCAAGTTCTTCTCGCGAGTCTGACCAAGTAGCGCAGCACCCTCCTAGCAGCCCGCCAGTGCGCAGGGTGGTGTTTCCTGGGCGCAACGTAGCGAGTCCGGATGCTGAGAGGGTGCGGCAGATACTCCAGCTCGAACTGCATGTCCTCTAGGACGTCACAGCCAAGGGCAAACTCACCCCCCGACGGACGGAGGACACGAAGAGTCAGAAACGAGACCAGCAAGGCAGGCACGGCAGCAAGTAGCGGCAAAGCCAACGAGCTCAGCTACTAAGGCAGAAGCACCAGCAGTCGAAGTAGCAGGTGCAGTCACAAGGGCGGCTAGACAACAAGTAATAGTCGGGCGAGCAGCACGAGCAAGGTCAGACACAGGGTCAGGAACGGCAGGAAGTGAAGACAGGGGAGGTAACGGCAGGACAACAAGCTCCCGAGTAACACGAGAGGTAGCAGGGGAGGCGGCACAAGACACAGGCACCCGACGCCCAGTCAGGGAGACGGGCAACGGTGAGTATCTAGCAGGAGCACGCAAAGGGGAGTCAGGCGGCAACAGTAGCAGTGACAGGATCCGGCGGCGGAACGACAAGAGGAGTAGTACAAGTGGGCGCCGGCTCATGTAGCGACGACGACGGCTGCTCTAAGAAGATAGGCCACCGCGGCAGCAACTGCAACACACCCCCAGACCCAGCACCTCCAGTAGTAGTACCTCCATGTCCACCAACAAGAGGACTCTGTTGGAATATTTATGTAACTGCCTGTAGCTGTAGTTTAGTGTAGTTATTATAAACTGTTGGTGGTGCACCTCTTGTGCTTGTTCTCTTGCCTATATGTTCCTTGTTTGCTATAGTGAAACTCTCTTTTCTTGCCACAATTCTCTCGACTCCCCCTCCTCGGCTCAACCTAGCTCAATCTCCTTGGGCCTAGGCTACTATGCCTAGGCCCCCACTTAAGATTAGCCCCTCACTTATGCCTAAGTTTCGACATGATATCAGAGCCTGTAAAGTCCTGGCCTGTGGGCCAGCCTCTCGCTTCCGCTGCTGTTTTTCCGGTCGCGCGCCTCGGGCGCGTGGCGATTTTCAACCTGTCCCGCGCCCGGGTGGCGCGTGACGTTTTTTCTGCCCGTCGCGGACCCGCCCCTGGCGCCCGCGACGGTTGCCTGAGCCGCCGCGGACCCGCCCCTGGCGCCCGCGACGGTGCCCTGAGCCGCCGCGGACCCGCCCCTGGCGCCCGCAACGGTTGCCTGAGCCGCCGCGGACCCGCCCCTGGCACCCGCGACGGTAGCCTGAGCCGCCGCGGACCCGCCCCTGGCGCCCGCAACGGTTGCCTGAGCCGCCGCGGACCCGCCCCTGGCACCCGCGACGGTAGCCTGAGCCGCCGCGGACCCGCCCCTGGCGCCCGCGACGGTAGCCTGAGCCGCCGCGGATCCGCCCCTGGCGCCCGCGACGGTTGCCTGAGCCGCCGCGGACCCGCCCCTGGCGCCCGCGACGGTGCCCTGAGCCGCCTCTGCCTCACCCGTGCCTGTGCTGCCCCTGTGTCTGATCCCCTTCCCCTCCTCCTCCTTTCGTTCCCACTGCTGCAGCTGCCGCTGGGGGGAAGGGTGTGAGGGTGTGGGGGAGCTGGGGGAGAGGTGCTAGGGTTGTCGAGGAGTGTGGAAGGGGGATTTGGAGGACTGGGGGAGGTTCCAGGAAGCAGCCGCCTCGGTGCCAGCAGCTTCACCTGCCAGCAGTTTCTCCTCATCCCGACTGCCTCTCTTGTTATGCCTCTTGCCTCTCTTTGCTGTTATTTGTAAACTTGTCACTGCTCTTGCGTAGTGCTGCTTCTCTGTTTGGTGTATCCATCCAGGAGGTGTTACTGCACAAACTCCTGCTGCAGGCGGTTATGGGGGAGTGTTGGAATATTTATGTAACTGCCTGTAGCTGTAGTTTAGTGTAGTTATTATTAACTGTTGGTGGTGCACCTCTTGTGCTTGTTCTCTTGCCTATATGTTCCTTGTTTGCTATAGTGAAACTCTCTTTTCTTGCCACAATTCTCTCGACTCCCCCTCCTCGGCTCAACCTAGCTCAATCTCCTTGGGCCTAGGCTACTATGCCTAGGCCCCCACTTAAGATTAGCCCCTCACTTATGCCTAAGTTTCGACAGACTCCTAGCACCCCCCAGAGTCAGCACCCCCAGAACCAGCACCCCCAGAACCGGAACCCCCAGAGCCAACACCCTCAGCGTCACCACCCCCAACAGCACCAGGGCCCCCGAAGTCCACAACAACAGGCTGCAGAAGAGGCGAAGACGTCCGAGGCGGAAAACCCGAAGGTGTCTCCAACCGCGGAAAGCGGCGAGAGGTCGGTGTGTCGGCAGCAGCAGGGAAGGTAAGCGACAGCGAAAGACGACCTAGGGTGGAAGGAGGGGGGGGGGGGAGTAGCGCCTAACTAGAGCGGTATAGAAAGCATGGACCGACGGCACCTGACGAAAGTTGGCTCTCTGGTCGAGCGAGAGGTGAGTGCGGGCTGCAAGTTTGGCGGCGGCGTCGTACGCCATCCATCGCTTGTAGGCAACGTGAGCTGCGCGGTGCTGCGTTCGCACCTCCTCCCCAGCGTCAGCAGCAGGCTCAGCAGGAGCCTCGGGGGCCGGAAGGGACCCCGACGTGTGCTCGAACAGGGAGGCGTTGTCCTGAGTGACACTCTGGAGGTACTGATGCATACCCTCTAGCCAGGACTCAAACTGTATCAGGTGGCCTTCGGCGTCAAATGTGAGCACAGTGGGAGTCACCATAGTAGCAGTAATGACAGCAGCAGTGGCAGTGATAGCAGCAGCAGCAGCAAGAGCGGCACGAGTGCAGGGGGCAGGGCAGCACTAGTGCACGGGGCAGCTCAGCTCAGCACGGCGGCTCGGGCGGCAGCAGCAGGTTAGCAGCAACTGCGCACGCAGGGCTGGGCAGGGCAGCGGGCGCAGCGCACGGCGCAGGGCAAGGCAGTGCAACGAGTGCGGGCAGAACAGGGCGCAGGAGCAGCAGTAGCAGCAGTAGCAGCAGCAGCAGCAGCAGCGGCGGCTGAGCAGTAGCAGCAGCACAGGCGGCAGCGGTAGCTTAGATGGGAGCAGCAGCGCAGGCGACAGCAGCAGCTTAACAACAGCAGCAGCTTAGGCGGCAGCAGCAGCAGCAGCAGCAGCACAGGCGGCAGCTTAGCAGCAGGGACAGTGTGCGGGCAGCTCGCGAGTCGCCGGCGGAGCGCAGGGCAGGCGCTCGCGGGCGGCGCAGAGCTGACGTGTGGGGCAGGGCAGGTGCGCCCAGGGCAGTGCGCGGGTGGCTCGCGTGCAGGCGGCGCAGGCAGCGCACGGGGCAGCGCGCAGGCAGCTCGAAGCAGTGCGGGCAGCAGGCAGCGCAAGCAGCGCTGGCAGCGGGCGGCGCAGGGCAGCAGGGGCTGTGCGCGGGCAGTTCGCAGGTCGCCGGCGGAGCGCAGGGCAGGCGCACGCGGGCAGCGTAGAGCTGACGCGTGTGGCATGGCAGATGCACGCAGGGCAGTGCGGGGGTAGCTCGCGCGTCGCCGGCGGAGCGCAGGGCAGGCGTTCGCGGGCGGCACACAGTTGACGCGTGGGGTAGGGCAGGCACGCGCAGGGCTGTACGGGCTGCACACGGGCCTGGCACGGGCGGTACGGGCTGTGCGCTGGCGACGCGCGGGCTATACGGGCTGCTGAGGCGGCGGCGCGGGCTGTACGGGTAGCGCGGGCAGCAGCGCAGCACGCGCGGCAGCAGTGCAGGGCAGGGAACGCGCGCGACGAGTAGCGCAGCACGCGACGGCAGCAGCTCATGTGGCAGGAGTGACGGTGGGCCCTAAAAAGAACAATCCTAGGTGAGGACCTGCTCTGAAACCATGTCGAGATAGGAAAGCAGGAATGGGTGCACTAGCATGAGTGAGGAGTACAAGTAGAGCTAACCCTAATGGATTGTACTCAGTACAGTCTACCCCACTAGAGCCTACACAACATATTGGTTATTTTGACAGAGGTGTATCGGTACATGACTATATGAGGTTGGACTACCAGACATGAGAATGGTTCAAACAATGTGCGAGAAATGTTGGTTGGAGCCAGGGCTCTTGCTAGGATTTGGGCTTGTCTGAAAACACCTAGGTAAAAAATTGTTCCTTCTGACGATCAGACGGGCATATTTTTCTGGTCTGATTTTCTAGACGAATGGTGGAGCTTAGTCTGATTTTTCAGACTAAT